AGTATAAGCCAAAACCTCATCCAACTAAAATTCTATTGCAAAACAACGCTGGTAGAGACTTATCCCAATAAGCCAGTGCAAGTTCTAAAAAGTGACATATGTAAAGGGTGAATATGTGTGCAAGCAACAAGTCTGCCATGTGTTTTAAGTAACTTTTCTGTTATAATACGACAAAATAAATATTTTGCTCTGTGACAGGAGCCCTGCTTGCCTCTGTGGCAAATATGAGCTTAATGTAAAATGGGCCACAATAAAATACACAGTATCTCAGTCCTGAGCAAATTATGACTACCAGTGATAGAAAACTCCATCTGACTCTTTGCATACCCACCCTGGTTAACAATGACAAGTGTTACACATTTTGCTCACCACACTGGATAATGTTAACTTACACTGCCCCCTAGTGACTGAACTGTACACAGACAAGGAAAACAAAGCTGCACATTATGCATTAGTCATATCAGGTGCTCTGTGCAAGGCATAAAGAGTTCTGGAACAAAGCGTATGATGTTATTATAATATAATTTGTGTTCATTTCCAGGAAAAATACATCCTAGTGTATAACACACACACACACACACACACACAATGTATTGGGACGCCCTCCAAATAACTGGATTCAGGTGTTCTGTGAAATTTCTTTGCTACCAAATATTCCATGGTCAACTGTTAGTGGTATTATAACAAAGTGGAATCAACTGGGAACAGCAACTCAGCCACAAAGTGGTAGACCACATAAAATGACAGAGGGGTCAGCGCATGCTGAAGCGCACAGTGCGCAGAAGTCTCCAACTGTCTGCAGAGTAAATAGCTACAGACCTCCAAACTTCAGATTGGCACAACAACAGTAAGTAGAGAGCTTCATGGAATGGGTTCCCATGGCCGAGCAGCTGCATCCAAGCTTTACATCACCAAGTGCAATGCAAAGCGTCGGATGCAGTGGTGTAAAGCACGCCACCACTGGACTCTAGAGAAGTGGAGACGTGTTTTCTGGAGTGACAGCTTGCTTGTAATCCAAAGCGCTTGTGTATCAAAGCGAATTTCCACATAGGAAATAATGGAAATTCCGATGATTCGTTCCACAACCCAAAAATATTCATATAGAAATGATTACAATACTGTACTGTAATATAATACTGTACAAAATATAAAGAAAAATAAACCGATTACCAGTACCTTCGTGGCTGGTGTGAGGGGGACAAGAATTGTCTTGCAAAACACTCTCAAACCAAGTTACTTGTAAACCAAGGTATTACTGTAGTGTGTTTGTATATATATCTATATATAGATAGATAGATATATATAGATCTATATATCTATATAAACATAGAGATATATAGATCTATCTATATATCTATCTATCTATATATAGATATATATAGATAGATCTATATCTATATATATGTGTGTGTGTGTGTGTGTGTAATATAATTTATTTAGATTTGCTTGCAAAAGAGGCCGTCATAATGCTAACAATCTCCTCAATATGGTGATAAAAACTAAAACTGTTTCTTTGTAGTGTATTATACAGTATATGGGAACAAGCTCTTGGATTACCTTAAGCAGTGATGAAGAACAGTAGACTTATTTCAGTATTCATCAGCAGCAATAGGCCATTAAAGTGCTACTGAACTGCTAGCAGGTTTTTTTGGCAGAAGAGACATGCAAAGTCTCGTCTGCCAAAAACTTATTTCTCTTTCCCCTAGCAGTTTCTTATTCTCTGTGTACAGTGTACGGCGCATGCATAGTGTAGTGTTTACTCACGGCATCTGTTAGATACTGAGAATGGAGCCATGTCCTGGGTTATATACGCCTCCTGTGCTCTTGTGAAGGAGTTACATAATAAGTCACCACCTAGTGGGCGCAATGGGTAAAGTTTTCGGAGAAGATGGTGGTGGCGGGGGACAGAACAATGATTGAAAGCCCCAATTGGTCAACACTGGAGGGAGCACTCTCATAGGCAAGTGTCATAATGTGCCCCTCTCACATTATTTAAAGTGTTAGCATAGTGCTACTAATTATTGAGTGCACCCCGTGCATAATTATTCTTAACCCTTGCACCTGGTAGACTGTTCATGGCCACTTTCAGGTTATCTACACCTACTGTCCCAAGGACCAGTAATCCACCCCGTTTCCTGGTCATTAGTTTTAGCGGTCTGGCTGTTGAAGCTCAGGTCTCCAAGGACAGAGGCTTCTTGAAAGTTGCTATCCCTATGATTTTAAAAGCTAAGATGTCATCCTCCCGCAAAGTCCACCACTGAACCTGGAAGCCTTATTTAGTTTGGTGCAAAGCAAGGCAGTTTCATCCCAGAAAGTACATCCTATGTTTTCTCCAGTCTGACTTTTGTGATCAGTGTTTAGCCTTGAGTACTATTAAGGTCCACATTTCTGCCTTGGTGTTTCTTTTCCAGAGGTTACTTGCCTCTCCCTCTCTAGTCAAGATTTTTGTGCAGGGGGTTACCCATGTTGTCCTCCTATGCCTACTCCAGGTACTCCATGGAATCTCAACTTAGTTCTGTCGGCTCTGCAGGAGTCGCCCTTTAAATTTCACAGAGATATCCCTTTGTTCTTACTCACTAACAAGGATACCTTCTTTATCGCTATCACTTCTGCCAGACATGTTTTTTTTTAGTACAAATCAAGGTGTCCTTGACTTGAAAAGAGCTTTTTCTGGTTATCCATAAATATGGGTTTTACTCAGGCCTATGGCCTCCCTTCTTCCTAAGGTAGTCTGTGCCTTTCACCCTAACCAGGGTATTGTTTTACCAACCTTATGTCCTACCATCCATCGTAAAGAAATTTCTCCACACTGTTTTTACGTGTTTTTGAGTTGTTTGAATTAGTTTCCACCCGCAACTCTGACTCATTTGTCACTCCTGAGGGTCCCTGTATGGGGCAGCCAGCTTGTCATTCCACAATTCAATCCGCAGGTGGATTAGGCAAACTATCACTCAAGCCTATGAGTTGATGGTAAACCCCTCCCCCCTGCCCCTTTCTGGTTAGAGCTCGCTCTACTAGGAGTGTTAATACTTATTGGGCCCTCCAGCATCAGGCTTCGGTTTCTCAAATCTCTAAGGCTGCACCTGATCCTCTGTTCACGCTTTTGCCAAGTGTTGCCAGGTGTACATTCAGGCCTCTGCAAATTCTAGCTTTGGCCGCAAGGTTCTTCAGGAAGCCCTTTGATATGTGGGCCCCTTCTGTTATGGTTCGCTGTAGGGATTAATTATTTTCACATGCCTGTTAGTCGTTGTTTGATGTGTTGCCCACCCTTCTGTTGGACTGCTTTTGGACGTTCCAACTCTTTAGGAACCAACTCCCTGTGTCCTGCAATCTACGATCAAGAAAACAGGATTTTTGTCTTACCTGAAAAATCCTTTTCTTGGAGTAAATCACATGACAAAAGACCCTCCCCTCTGGTTTCTCTCTCCCTCTTTGATACACTCTTGTACTCTCGGCTACAAAACTGATGCAGGCTGGGAGTGGGAGGGGCTATTATACAGGGCTGTCTTACAGCTTTGTTCAATTTGTCAGTTCTCCTGAAGTTAGCTGCGTTACCCATCTGTTGAAGAATTAACTTCACGTGTCCTCTGTTGTACTCCAAGAAAAGGATTTCTTTTTACTTACAAGGTTACTTCCTTGTACGGTTTCTTTATCTGATGTCATATGCAGAACAAAGGTCCCACCTTTCATCTGCATATGAGTAAAATAGTAAATACAATGAAACAACACAGTGTTACATTGCGTTTACTCAATCTTACTTGCTAGTATTTGCAAGTGTCATTTTACACAGGAGTGGCTGCAATCTGACAGGTTAAACCTCTGCCAAACTAGGACAACCCTTGTGTCTTCTAGATCAGTGGTCGCCAACCAGTGGTCCGTGTGAAAATTTTGGTGGTCCCTCTGATGGCATGCAGGCTGGGCCGTCATTGAAGCGGCACGGAGGCTCCGGGGCTGCCTCTCACTGACTCAAGCAGCGCCTGTCACAAGGAATGTGCGGCTCTCAATACAGTGCGGGCTCTGCAGGAGGCGGGGCATCTCGTCAGTACCCGGACTGAGCAGGCTGATTGTTTCCTCATATATAAATATATTGTGTGTGTGTGTACACATATACACACACACATGAGAATATATTCATATATGAGAAAACAAAAAATATGAGAATATATATATTTATAAAAAATCCATATTAGTGGTCCGTGGGATTTAAAATGATGAATTTAGTGGTCCATGAGGTCCGAAAGGTTGGTGACCGCTGTTCTAGATAGTAAAGAATAAAGAGACAGAAGAGTAGGAGGATCTTTATTTTTATTTTGTGACAGACTTTCCCTTTAGCAGGAGGGTGAAGATGGTGGTGCAATTTCATTTTGCACACTAAATCTGTGTGCAAGGTAAACCCCTTTATACATTGGCTCACACAGTATCTCCATTTGTTTGAAGTTATACAATTTTTTAATTAAAAATGATGTTGGTATAAGTTAATTCAACAGCATAAACATTTTATTGTATTATCTTCAATGATCCACGGGTTCCAGCGAACATGTGAAAATGGCCACTACACGGTCAATGTATATTAATGTATATGTAAAATGCAGAGTAAGTATACTGATTTCAAACACTTTACATTTTGAAAGCATTCAATAAAGACAGTGCTAATTCTTTTGTGCAGTAAACCATAGCAACCAATAAGAATTCACCTTGAACTGGTTTGACTTCAGCTAAGTAATCAGTTGCCGTAAGTTAGCACTTTGCTCAGTTTATTGAATAAGGCCGATAATGTACACATGCTTTCACAAAGATAAATGAATCTCTATATGACCACAAAGATTGTGAACATGGTAACCACAATATTGTATGCACCCCAAGCCCCATCTAATATAGGTGAATTTGGAAAATATCCAGAGAAACAGACTGAACGGTATGAGAACCATATCTGGCAGAAGCTGATGAGAAAAGGCTGATTACCAGAAATGGCACTACAATCATATAGCAGAATACGTGGAATTTACTGGTGTCATCCATGCTTTATGGTAGATGTTAAAATAAACGGAATTCTTTGTTGGTCACCTTCATTTGATCCACAAACCTGAAATATATGAAAGATCGTGGTTAGTACTAAAAGTAGCACATGGCTGTAAGAAAAGTATTAGAAATGTGGACTAGACCAGTGGTTCTCAACCTGTGTAACCTCAGGACCCACATTTGTCCTCGGTCATTAAGTTGAGACCCAAGTCGTATTGCAATGGAACGCACGGCAGTGTGAGCTGCTGTGCTGGAGCTCCATTCATATGTACATTGCGTGCACAGCTCCCATGTGTGCCCCTAGAGTAGCTGGGAGCCAGAATGTGATGTCACTCCAGTCCAGGCACCTCTATAGGACATGCAAAGGAGCTACAGTATAAGCAATGTACATATGGATGGAGCTCCCTCGTGGCCATACCCCTAGCCCACCCCACCTCAAGTCGACACTTGGCGCCGGGCAGCATATTTTGAATAACTGCTTGGTGTAAGAATGGACAGTGCTGGGCTAGGGGGAGGGTAGCGGGAGGCTGAGTAGCCTCTCACCTAGAAAAGTGGAAGGCATATGGCGACCCACTGAACAAGGGTTCGCGACCCACTTTTGGGTCACGACCCACCAGTTGAGAACCAAGGGACTAGACTGTTTAGAATGAATGTTTTGGCATGTTTCTTTCTACATGCTTTTAGAATAACACATTTTTTGTTTATATGTGCACTTTTATGTACACTACTGCACGTGAAAACACATTTTGCTAACTCATTTCTATGGACATGAATAGGCACATTATTGCACCCAAAAGTGCTGCATGTAGTATTTTTAATAAATACAGTGGGGGGAATTTATCAAAGCCATTACGACAGTTTTAGCCTCTTAGATCATTTCTTTTATGTGCAAATCTGTCTTTCAACATGTGCACCTGTTTTGACCTGAGTTTGCACTACTTTTCCAACTGCACGTGTTTTGCACCTGTTTTCTTCAGAGGTTGCACTACTTTTCCAACTGCACGTGTTTTGCACCTGTTTTGTTCAGAGGTTGCACTACTTTTTCAGTTGGATGTTGTTTGCACCTTTTTTGCACGTGTTTTCATCTGCACTTGTTCTGGGCTGTCGGAAACTGGAGCATCGCCTAAGAAAACAATCGCAACTTAAGAAGTCCCCATGACCACTTCTTCAAGAAGCGACAGTTAAGCTTTTTGCCTGAAGTTACAAGTCTTCTTTCCTGGAGTCTATTAAATCTAATTTATCAACAACATTACACCAGCTTCATAATCTGGTGCAAATATATTCCGTGCAAGTTCAAACACTCGCAATTGCTATGATAAATTCCCCCCCCCCCAGTACATTTGAATTCCCACCTTATGTACTACATATAACACCTCCCTAATGTGCCTAATATGGTAAATTAACTTTGGTGATTGGATTAGCCCTAAGGGAATCTCAGGGAATTCACTCTCACCAGATGAACAGAAGAAGCCACTTGAATGTGTATTGAAATGTTTTTATAATCAGCAAGTCATGTTGTTCTTATGTTTTCTACTACTAGATAGTGTGGTAGGTGAATCCTTGCATATGGTTCTCACTTGATGAGAATATCAACTTTAGAGATCTTGATGTGTTGACAAACTGCCTTGCATGGGCAGACATACTCCCACAGTTCTAGATTTCAATGAAAAAGCACACTTATTCTAGTACAAGTAAAAGCTGGTCTTTCACTTCCAGTAGTGCAGAGTCTCCTAACTCAAGCTGGTCTACACTTTTAGATTTTCGTAAGAACGTTCTTATGGAAAATCTCATCAGAACATTCAGTAATGTCACCAAAATCAAAGACTTTATAAATATTTGTAGAAATGTTATTTGATTTTAACATTCAAATTTACAAATGAAAGGAGTTTCTCGAACGAAAACCAAATTTACTCTTAGAATTTCATTTGCTGGAGAAAAATTTCTCATGCTGCTCCTTCAATTTTTTTCATTACTACGGTCTAAATTGATCATCGGTTTGACCCCATCAACTATTAAAAAAATTGAATGTACAGTGGTACCTCGGTTCATGAACTGAATTCGTTCCACGATTCTGGTTGCGAACCAAATCATACTGTGATCAGACCGCGATCTCGACTAGAGGAAGCCACGACCATGTGTCAGAGCACGGAATGGCTGCGGTTGTGTCGGTCACCCGATGTGGAGTTCGCGAATGGAAGCAAAATTTTGCACAACTTCCTGTTTGCGCACCGCATTGTTCACGAACAGAAGCGTTCATGAACCGAGGTACCACTGTATGTTACGAAAACACATTTTTTTCAAACAGAATTCTAACTGTGTATACCCAGCTTCAGTCTCTCAGTTTATTTGGGTGGATGATATCACTGCCCTTTCCCATATGATATTTTGCGTTCCTGGCAATTGGTCACTTAGGCTCAAGCACTGTCACTTGTGGGAGTTTGCATGTTCCTCCATTCCTGGAAGCCCCTCCATTAGGACAATGGTGTTAGGGTTCTGATGGAACAGGGAGGCGGCAAAAGAGTGCAGACTGGCAAATAAAACTTGCTGAGGGAGGTGGGCTATCAGAGGTCACTGTTGTTTTGCAAAGTGACAGTGTCTCTTTTATACAGACTTCCACAGATGTATATACTTACTTAACTTTCTATAATGGAGACAGTCACAGAGCCAAATTAGTATCCTAACAATCAGCATTTCACAGCAAGGAGCTTACGGACATCACTGAATTCTTGGAAGGCCATGTAAACTGATTTGCTGAACATGGTCCAAAAAATGCTTATTCATTTGATTGTTGGCAACATTCCTTTATTTAACAGAGACGTTGTCAGCAGCAATTTTCCCGTTAAAATGTACTTTTTCTGTGTATTGCAGTGGTTGCAAATACAAGAATCTTCAGTAAGAACATTGCATTTAAATGTTCTTCACTTGATTGTAAACATCTTCTTCACACAAGGCAATAACTGACTGAGGTGTTCAATAATTCATGAGCTCAGTTCACTGGGAATGAATTATTTAGTGCTCGTCAGGGCGTCAGATGAGTGGTGGAGCTGAAACCATGTGGACAGCTATTAATGAATGTGTGTTGGCAATAGGCAGAAAATTTGATTATTTTTTTTCATTGCCTGAATGGTTGGGTTTATGAAATGTGTTCTTATATTAGTTAAGCCATATAATGTTTTTATTATATTATGTAAATAGGAAATCAAAATCACTTTAAAATGCTGACAATAGCCATAGCCTTTTAGATAGCCATAGCCTTTTACCACCTCCCTTTTAGATTGTAAGCCCTCCTTACCATCGTGTCTTGAATTGTAATGTCCTCCTTATATTGTAAAGCGCTGCGCAAACTGTTGGTGCTATATAAATCCTGTATAATAATAATAGCAGCCATATAACCTCTGAAATCTAGGGGTGCTTGCCAGTAAGGATAAGGTTTGGTTCTGCCATTACCATGCGTTTGAGGTGAATCCTACAGGTTCAAGATTATGGTTCTGGCAAATTTTTGTGCAGATTCACCTGGGTGAATTGGTCAGTGGTTACCTTTAGCTGCTGCCCTGTCCGTAGCAAACTTATTTTTTTGCTGCAAGACTTCCCTTTAGAAAAATGGGCTTTTGTTTACGGGAGATGGTATTTTGGGGTTTGTAGAGAGGGGGGCTCCTGAGATCATTTCTCTGCTCTCCAATCCTCCCCACCTCCTGTTGACTTTCAAAGGCAGAAGTCCGCAAATCAAAACAGCAGAGGGCCTACACACTGGGCACCGAGACAAGCCAGGACATGTCTGCTGTTTCCCTCCATTCAATCCTCCCCAGAACAAAGGACACATGAGGGGAGGGGGTTAGTTGCTCAGCAACAGCCTGTGTACTGCCCCTTCCCTCCCCTCTCAGGCCGGCCCCTCCCGGGACCTTTGTAAGTGTTGGTGGGAAGGCTGCATGCTCTCTTCCTCGCTGAATGGTTGACTAGAGGCTGCGCTGAGGCCGGTCTCTGTCTGTGGATTCAAGGGATACGGACTTAACCCTTCCTGTTCTGCTCCACTGCTGCTGTGAGGACTGCTGGGATCTGTTGTTTTACCCGTACTGGATGTACTCACACGGTGCCTTGTTACCTGTTGGATTACCTCTTGCAGCACCTCTGACCCCTGGACTACTAGCCTTGTGACTCTGGATCTACTCCTTCCTTGGCCCGTTGCCTACCTTCTTGATGGACCCTCCCCGTGGCCTGCAACCCCCCAGGACCTAACCCCGGCCTTTGTACCTTGCTTTGTACACCTGAACTCCCCAATAAACACCCCGCACGCCGGGTTCCGTGTGATTTGCCTCTGTGTATTCTCTCTGCGCTCCTAGTTCGTCACAGGTTTTCATTTATATTGCAGGTATATTAATTGAGGATAATAAGGCCTTTATTTTAGGTTGAACTGCTTTTTTTGTGCAGTAAGGCTAATTTTACAATTCTGTGTCATCTGTGGTCTCTTACTTCTTGCAGTAAAACGCATGCCTGCACTCCTCTTTTTTCTTGAGATAATTTCAGCCAAATTCTTTCTCGTTAAAAATGTCCTGTTGCTGACCAATTTTACATATCTTTATCATCTGCAGGCTCTTAATTCTTAACGACAGCCTGACAAATATTGGCCAGTCGCAGAACAGTTTTGCATCGGCAAGAGCAGGAACAGCCAAATGCTGGTCAATTTCTGATGGTCAAAGTAGATCTATTACAGCAAGTCCACAATATAAAATTGTGTTCTTCTGTGTGCCGCCAAGCACCGCTGTGCTAAGGTTTGTCACTATATCATGTGGATTTATACTGTGGACTTGTCACTATAACACGTAGATAGACAGGAAGCAAGGTTTGATAAAATGACTGGATACGTGTGATTGGAACAATATATGATCACAGGGAGTTTATATGTTATAGTGTAAGATTGAAATTGGCACATAAATATGATTGAAAACATATATTGGATGAACACATTGGGTTTGGCTTGAGAATTGAAAACACATTGAAAATTGGCTTGAGAATTTGATGAATATAGGGGTCTATTCACAAAGCTGCCAAAGTATCTGGCCGTAGCTTCGGCCGATCCTTCGGCTGGCTTCGGCCCCAGGACCCCTTCGGTTCAGGAGAACCGAGGGGGTGCTGTACGGGCTATTCACAATAGCCCGTACAGCTCCCGATCACGGCCGAGCAGCTCAGTCGAGCGCTGAGCCGTGCTGAAAGCCGAAGCTGGCCGAGCGGCCGGCCATTGGCCGGCCGACAGCCTGCTTCTGACAGCTGAGAGCAGACAAAATCTGGTGCAGATTTGCACTGCAACCAATCAGTTTCTCTGTCACATTTTCAAATCTTACCTGAGGAAACTGAAGAGAGATGCTGATTAATTGCCATGGGCAACTGCTCCAGATTCTGCCTGCTCCAGTTTTGATAAATGCCCCCCTATATGTTTGAGAATTAGTCTTTTTAAAGATTAAAAGTTTATTAAGCAAAACTCTTGTCAACAACTGTTTGGTTTCGTGTGTCTGTACATTACAGAAACAAGGTATTACAAAGCAAAAATACAAAACAGATACAAAAAAGAGAGTTAGTCTTAAAGGGCACTTGGTGGAGATTTAGATGCATTGTGATTGAGGGTATTTTTAGAGCGAAGTGCATTTAAGTATATGGTAATGGGTTTTAATCCCCAGCATTCTGTTCATCCCCAAGTATAAACATTTGACCCCTAGGCTCCTTAAAACTGTACGGTCTTCTAGAGCAAACTGATTGGCTTGAAGCTTCAAAATCACTTTGTCCACCCCTGCACTGGCATGACTGGGACTTTAAAAAACTCACATACAGTATGAGGGGGCAAGTGGTGCCAGAACACCAAAGCAGTAAAGCCCACAGCAGCAGTGATTAACATTTTGCAGACATCATGTCTATCAAAGCTATCTTTTCCTAAATTTAAACAGTACAAGACAGTAAACCAGATGCTGTATGGACAGGTTGGAGGGGGGGAAAAGCGCTGCAGATATTCCTTTCCATGGCTGCATATATAAAGCAGGGCAAGACATTATCGGTGAACAAGAATAGTGGCTGAGAACCAAAATTGAACGACAGGAACCATCAAACATTCATTAGGATTGTGGCCAAGCAAATTCCATTTGACATTTTGGTCACTATCATTCTTCACTGATAAAGTCCTGCCATGCTTTGTGTATGCTGTCATAACCACAGAGACAGTTGCTCTTGAAACAGCAAATAAACTGACTGATATAGATACAGACGCTCCATGTTAGCAGGCACTAATAATTTGTCCTCTTTGGAGGTCTGACAAGTCACTCATGTTGCTGACAACTCATACTAACTGCTATTGAACACGTGTAATACACGGATATAAACATAAACATTTTATACAGTATAGTCTACTCAAATAAAATGAATCCCTATTATACTGGTGTTCTCATTATTTTGTCCACCCCATATGCCTGACCCCTGCATGCTATGTTGAAATTTACATACTCCTGACTACTGCACTATATGCTTTGTCAGTGGCGGAACTACCAGGGTCGCAGAGGTCGCGGCCGTGACCGGGCCCTGGAGTTCGGCCACTTGGAGGGGGCCCAGGACAGGAGGAAGGGGCCACTGGTGACCGCTGATTACCAGTCCCGGGACCTCTTCCTCCCGTCCTGGGCCCTACATGCTTCACGCTGCTCCCCTCATCTTGTTCCGGGCGCAGCGTGAAGCATCATCCAGCCGGGCAGCAGCCAATGAGAGGGAGCGGTGTAATCCCCGCCCCATCATCACACAGAACTGCCGCCGAGTGCCGAATAGAGCTGCTGCGGACACGAAGGGGGAGACAGGGAGCTGTAAGTATCAAGGAAGGTGACATGGGGTCCGGGAACAGAATGAAGGGGGAGATACAAGAGGACAGTGTTTTTTTTTTCTTTCCTTGTCTAAGTTTTGTTTAAAAAAAAAAATCTAATGTGTTTCTTCTTGGGGGGGCCCTTCATGGATTCTTGCATGGGGCCCTGAGGTCACTAGTTACGCCACTGTGCTTTGTAGTACATAATGCTGCCAATCTGTTGTGTACATTACATAATCCTTAATAAACTGTTCACTGTTTCAACAGCTAGGTCAGCCTAAAGCTGCCCACACACCTTACAATTATCTGCAGATTTTCTGTGGTCAGATGGAAAAGGTGCAACAGATTCCTCCATCTACACTTATCTGTGTGTATGGAGTAATCTCCACCTGGGCCAATCTGTTGCACTTTTTCCATCTGACCACAGAAAATCTGCAGATAAATTGTAAGGTGTATGGGCAGCTTTACACACTAAGGCCTCATTCACACATCGTTAACTTGGGCCGTACATGTCCGTGCGGGTGTCCGTGCGGCGTGCACACCCGCATCGGGCCGTTCCTGGGAGGGACAGGTGCTGCCTGTTCTTCCCTATGGGAGGACGCAGCCCTATGCACACGAGATGGATCCTGTCTGTGTCTGAGCACGGACACCCAGACCCGCACAGATGTGCAGTTCAGGTGTGCGTATGACAGTGTTAATTCTAGATGTGTATGGCTAGCCATAGGTTTTTTTTTTGCTAAGCACAGGCTGAACAAGAGAAAATGAATATACTCTGGAACTGTCAACTATTGTATTTAGACAGCTGCTGCACCCTAGGCTGTCATAATACCCAAACAGTGACTGGATCCAATGGGCTGCAGTCACTGTTCGATCCAAGAATTTCCTACTCATTGATTATTTGAATCCATTTTTATTGAGCCAGGTTGTTCCGACAGTGCCACTCACAGTTTGAATTTTGGCTGCTTTCAGCCAAACTTCGATCTATGTATGGCTAGCTTTACCGTCTGTTTAGTAGTTCTTTCTTAAGTTCTTTAAGATAGACTCAGACACAGAGTTATATGTCTACAATCTGCATGTAGCCTAGCATATGGTATGTATCTTTTTTTAATGAAATGTCGTTTTTTTTGATGATTTTATATTGCAGTCATGTGATTTTGTTCATGTACCTCCACACCTCACTGGCGGGGGCTGAGATTACCTGCAGCAAGTGACGCATGCTGCATACATCACAGCAGGGCATTCCCTTCCTTTCAATGAGACTGCAAAGAGAGTCAGATGGGGGGGAGTGGGCTTCTGTCAATCACAATGATGTTACAGTAGGATGTTCCCTTCCGTTCCCCGGAGCTGCAAAGATTATCTAACGGGGGCCACTGTCAATCACATTGCTGCAGCCACCATGCAAGCCAATGAAGAGTGTCACATGGGACAGCCTTCAAAGGAGTGCACGGCTTTCTCCCCAGGAGGAACTGGAGCATGTGCACTGTGAGTGGCAACGCAGAAGACGGAGGATCATCTGGAGAAGCAATGCCACAACCATTATAGTGAATGATAATGAGAGCAGGCTAATAAAAGGTCCATTATAAACTGCATTTTAATAGACCTTTTGTTTTTGGTAATTATAGCTACACTCTGATACTTAGTGCTTTTTTAACAAGTTGGTTGCCAAGACCACAGTAACTGATTTCGAATCTAACTGTCACTTATTTCTTTTCTTTTAATTAAGATTCTTATCCTGGTAAGTTAGCTTTGTGGATTGAACCTATTATTGGACTATGTACTCTCATCCTCCTCCTCTGACAAAACAAGTACAGACTTACCTGGTCATAGGACTATTGATCATGGGGTATCGTGTACTCTGAATCCAAGGATGGGCACTTTCTGGATTTGCCTTGGGGTCCTGTGGCAACCACCATCCATATTGCTGGGCTGTAGTCAGTGGGATTCGCTGAGTTTGTTTAGGAGCTGAGAGAAAAAAATACCGTAATCAATTTTACAGCTAATGTGACTTGGTGTCTGTAGATAATGATTCCACTTGGCCTTGTATCACTCATAGCAATTCCACTTGGCCTTGTATCACTCATAGCAATTCCACTTGGCCGTTTATCACTCATAGCAATTCCACTTGGCCTTGTATCGCTCATAGCAACTCCACTTGGCCTTGTATCGCACATAGCAACTCCACATGGTCTTGTATCGCTCATAGCAACTCCACTTGGTCTTGTATCGCTCATAGCAACTCCACTTGGTCTTGTATCACTCATAGCAATTCCACTTGGCCATGTATCACTCATAGCAACTCCACTTGGCCTTGTATCACTCATAGCAATTCCACTTGGCCATGTATCACTCATTGCAATTCCACTTGGTCATGTATCACTCATTGCAATTCCACTTGGCCATGTATCACTCATAGCAACCTCGCTTGGTCATGTATCACTCATTGCAATTCCACTTGGTCATGTATCACTCATACCAATTCCACTTGGCCATGTATCACTCATAGCAATTCCACTTGGCCTTGTTGCACTCATAGCAATTCCACTTGGCCTTGTTTCACTCATAGCAATTCCACTTGGTCATGTATGACTCATTGCAATTCCACTTGGTCATGTATCACTCATGGCAATTCCACTTGGTCATGTATCACTCATAGCAATTCCACTTGGTCATGTGACAGTTAACATACTCACTCCTCAGGTCTTAGTGATGTGACAGTTAACATTCTCACTCCTCAGGTCTTAGTGCAGTGACAGTTAACATTCTCACTCCTCAGGTCGCAGTGAAGTGACAGTTAACATACTCACTCCTCAGGTCGCAGTGAAGTGACAGTTAACATACTCACGCCTCAGGTCGCAGTGAAGTGACAGTTAACATACTCACTCCTCAGCTCTTAGTGATGTGACAGTTAACATACTCACTCCTCAGGTCTTAGTGATGTGACAGTTAACATACTCACGCCTTAGGTCTTAGTTAAGTGACAGTTAACGTACTCACTCCTCAGGTCTTAGTGAAGTGACAGTTAACATTCTCACGCCTGAGGTCTTAGTGAAGTGACAGTTAACAGTCTCACTCCTCAGGTCTTAGTGAAGTGACAGTTAACATACTCACGCCTGAGGTCTTAGCGAATTGACAGTTAACATACTCATTCCTCAGGTCTTAGTGATGTCACAGTTAACATTCTCACTCCTCAAATCCTAGTGAAGTAACAGTTAACATTCTCACTCCTCAGGTCTTTGTGATGTGACAGTTAACATTCTCACTCCTCAGGTCTTAGTGAAGTGACAGTTAACATACTCACGCCTGAGGTCTTAGCGAATTGACAGTTAACATACTCATTCCTCAGGTCTTAGTGATGTAGCTGTCTTCATCCGGCCGCTGCAAAGGTATGTCGTGTGACAGGTAAAATACTCATGCCTGAGGACTTAGGCCCCGTTCACATATAGCGACTTATCGCGCGATTTCGCGCATTTTTGCCAAGCGATATCGCGAGAAGTCGCCGGCCAATGCTATTCAATGGAGCTGTCTTAACTCCGCCTTGCTCGTCGCGGTCGCAAGTCGCTTCTACCAGACCCTTTTTTCTGCGGATTTTGCTTTTTTTCTATGGAGCCCGACGGAGAAGGTCGAGCTACCGTCGCTGGATCGTCGCCCCGAAAGTCGCGCTATCCCGGCCGCTGCAAAGGTATGTCGCTACATGTGAACGGGGTCTAAGTGATGTGACAGTCAACATTCTCACTCCTCATGTCCTAGTGAAGTGAAAGTTAACATTCTCACTCCTCAGGTCTTAGTGAAGTGACAGTTAAATGCTCACTCCTCAGGACTTAGTGAAGTGACAGTTAACATACTCACGAATAAAAAAAGCGCGAAAAACGTGCATATTTAGTCCGCCTAGGTGTGAACCCAGCCTTAGTGATGTGACAGTTAACATACTCATGCCTGAGGTCTTAGTGATGTGACAGTCAACATTCTCACTCCTCAGGTCTTAGTGAAGTGACAGTTAACATACTCACTGCTCAGGTCTTAGTGAAGTGACAGTTAACATACTTACGCCTGAGGTCTTAGTGAAGTGACAGTTAACATACTCACTCCTCAGGTCTTAGTGAAGTGACAGTTAACATTCTTACTCCTCAGGTCTTAGTGATGTGACAGTTAACATACTCACTCCTCATGTCATAGTGATGTGACAGTTAACATTCTCACTCCTCAGGTCTTAGTGATGTGACAGTTAACATACTCACTCCTCAGGTCTTAGTGAAGTGACAGTTGACATACTCAAGCCTAAGGTCTTAGTGATGTGACAGTCAACATTCTCACTCCTCAGG